CTCTAACCTGGTCCTCCCCAACCTGAGGTCTGAAGGCGACCTTAGAAAATAAATTATTATATTAGATTGACCCAAAGCTGAAGTTATTCAGCATTTTCAGTGAACTGAAAGAATATAACTAAAAATGAATAGCTGCATTTTTAGTCATCTAATTTTTTTAAAAAGAGGAATTGATTCACAAAAACAATGAAGAGCAGCTGCTGTAGCTCAAGTACTAGATGTCAGAGGTTCAAACTTTGCTACTTTGACTGGGGCAGGAATTTGAACCAAGGTGTCCTATCTCCCAAAAAGGGAGTCATAACCATTGGATTTCTCTCAAGTCTTTCCTGTTTTAAACCGTTCCACTTAGCACTGAAATACCAAATGTAAGAGTGATGTTGTAGCCATGACCATCCAGAAATAACATGAGGCAAGAATTTCTTAGGGTGATATCCTTTATTGGCCCAACTGTGTAGTTGGGCTAGAGTTAAGCTGCTTTTCCAATTTGGTTAGTTGAGTGAAAGTCAAGATTCCTGCTGATCATAGAACCCATGTAGCAAAAACTGTCAATGACACCAAGAGATTTATCCTCCAGAGTGATGTCAGGTATTGCTTTTTCTCATCCCTTGGTACATGATCACAAGTTTTGAGACTAACTGCTATCCTGAAGCTATTGCATGATTCTGAAAATCTGCCCAAGAGATTTTGCAGGGAAGATTCACTGTAGGCAACCAAGGCTGCATTATTTGCAAACAGGAAATCTCAAAATGAGTTCTTTCACCTTGGTTTTTGCTCTAAACGTTGCAATGTTGAACAAGCCTTCATCTAGTCTGGTTTGAAGATAAATGCCGTCATTGCTGTCCTTGAATTAATGAAGAAGCAGGAATGAAAAGTAGATGTTAAAAAATGTGGGGGCCAAGATGCACCTATTTTACCCCACTAATGTCAAAGGCGTTTGATTCTTTGTTTTCATACTAATGATCAGAAAAGCAGCTAAAAATTTTGGGATATAACAAAAAAGTGCATGGAATAACAAACAACTATCAGCTAAGGAAACAGACTATCAAAGAAGAACAGGTTGTGATGGATTGGCTGTCAGAATAGAAGACCACATTGCCAAAAATATTTTGTATAATGAGATTCAAGATGGCTCTAGAAAGCAGGGTTGCCCTCTAACAGTACCATGATATGTGCAAAAATTATATGCAGTTGTTCAACACCAACTTAAAAAGCTGTAGGGGAGCATGCAGAATCCAGTCCAATCTGGAGGGAACATCTGGCACTGGGTGCAGCTCAATGTGAAGCAGCTTTGATCCAGAGGATGGAAGCAGTGAGAGAGAAGAAAGCAGCATGCTATAAATTTGGACTCCAACTGAGACAATATACAGCAAAAGCTGTTATACAGCACCCATGGGGAATGTGGGGTGCTGGATAACCAAATATGCCAGTTACCTGAGAGATGCAAACAGGCGTCTTTGCCTGTTCGGGCTGCTGCCCCTTCCGCCCCGTCGGTGCGCCGCTGCCCTTCCCTAGCACCAGTGTGCCGAGGACGGGGGGGGGGGGCCCTGTGCAGACTGCTTTGCCCTGGGCCATAGTGCAAAGTCAGCCAAAGTGGAACTCGGTGAAACCGGAAGTGGGACTTGTTGTTTCGGTTTTGCTGCATCAATCAGCATGCCGGTTAATGGAGCATGCTGGTTAATAACACTGCTTTTACTATATGGCTCTGTGAAACTTGTAATCAGATGTGTTGCACCTGAATTGGACTTATCAGCCACTAATGGATTGATCAGGCATTTGATTAAATCTCTTACATGTATGCCATGATCCAGAGGATTGATGGCTGCCTACTACTACAAATGCAAGACATTGTTCTTTGGGTCTGATCATAAAGAACAGTATAGTAAAGAACAGCAGTGGGAGGAGAGAAATTTCCAGGAGCAGCAGGTGCAATTAGCAGAAGAAAAGAAGCTGATTGTGAGATCAGTGCCTATTAGGAGGGAGCAGCGTCATTAATTAAACTTACCATAAGTGTTCATGGGGCCAGAGGTGAGAAGTAATCTATCTGATTATAGACTCCCTACAAGGGAGCAATGACTTACTTAAATGTTAATTGAAGCAGGAGCTATATTTTATACAAAGTGAAACAGCTTCAAAAGAAGACAAAGAGATAGGGTAGTCTAAAATGCTGACTCCACTCCCTGCTCTGAACTAGAGACAGCAAGAAAATCTGACCCTAGTTCTCCCACAATTTAGGCAAGAGATGCTCTAACTATGAAGCTGTAGTTTACAGGATGGTGTTTTTTCCTAGCCAAAATTTTGCTGAACTTGGGTCCAATTTATAAATAAATTGAACAGCTGCAATGCATTGTTTGGCAAAAAATATTAACTGGAGCAAAAATGTCTTACAAGAGTATGCACATACACTTGTATATGTTCAGTTATTTGATTCTTTTTTTAATATCAATTTTTGAGTCTGTACAGAAAGCAGTTTTAAATGCAACTTGAGTTCAAGCTACTATTGACCAACAGGAGTTACGGAACAGGTACAATCTACAGGTACAAAAGCTTACATCCTCACAAAATCCCATAGGATTCTGCATGCGTGTCAGGGTCTGCATTTGTTGTTCCACATGCAAGACTTCGTCCCTGAATATTACATTATATTTAAGGGACACTGTCAAATTGCAACCTAATGCATTTACCAAAATGAATTTAGGAGTAGGTTCACTACTGTAAATAAAGTCTGCTGGTCAACTTTGGTGGCTTTTCAAGCCACAATATCTTAACTTTTCAAACAGGATCAACTGGAAGAGTAAAACAATATTCACAAAGTAGATAAATGTATTAAGTTGAGAGAAACAAATTTCAGATTTTTAGTTATAGAAATCTTAGTCATTACTGATAATCATATGAAGTTAAAAGCACATTTGCTCAAGTGCTTGTTTAAAGTCAACTGCATCCCTTCTAACTTTTACTGCTTCTTTTCAAAGAAATTTGGGGGCAAGTTCCAGAAACGTTATGCAATTTACAATCCCCTCCCCGCTTTTAAATAGAATAGTTCAATGTATTCCCAAGATAAAGAGTATAATATTTTCTTAAGATTCCTGACACATTCTGGATACACTTCTAAAAATAGATCTTTTTAAAAAGAAGATGAATCAATTATACTTACATTTTTGATGGAATTATAAACAAATAACGTACATGAGCTTCAGGTCCTCCTTTAGGTCCTGGTTCTGCACAACCCGGGAGCATTAACTTAACAGTACACAAGCAAACAGTATTTTTCCTGTGCACATGCTTTTCATTTAGCACATGCTTAAGTATTTTTCCAAATCTAGGTTTTAATGAAGTGCAATAATTGATTTCCAATAAATTATGTTTGCATAAATACTGTTGTCACCAGAAGTACTTAATAAGCACCAGGTATTTTAATGTTAATTTTATTACTGTTATGGTAGTAACATGCAGGTTCTTTTAAACAGATGTGGGCAGATTTTGTATACTGCTATTTGTTGGTTATGGCAGAATGAAACAGGTCGCATTTGCAGTTAAAATAAAAGTTTACTCTGATGCTTCCTCTTTTGCATTTGATACCCACCTGTGACTGAAATAGGTAGTAAAGGAAAAAAGATATTTTAAATTTCCTTATTAATTTCAAGAGCTTAATAATATAGCTATTACAATTACTTTTTTGAAAGCATCCCCATCAAAATGTTATACCAGATAAAAAGTTTTTCATACCATACCTTCTTGCATACAATATGCCCCAGAATATAATATACACCTTGTTTTTGAAAGGCAGAATGATGAAAAACAAGATTTTCTTAAAGTTATGGATGCACAGAGCAGTGATAACGCCTAGTTTTTAACTGATCTGCCCTCCCTTTTCTGTTTAACTACAGCTGAAAACCTAGCTGGTGCTGAGGACTGGTTCCATGGGTAGATCTATGATTTGGAAGGGTCTCCCAGCAGAGGCGACCCAAGCAGGGTGCGGGGCCCGTGGCAAGTCAGCGAGTGGGAATAGCGAGCGGCTGGATGCGGAGCTGCTGATACTGTGCCTGGCTCTGCAGGACGCCCCAGAGTGCAGGGCCTGGGGTCACCCCAATTCTTCCCCCCCCGCCCAGGAATGACCCTGTTTCCAACGCTGTGAAAGAGGGGCAGAGAGAGACCAGGAGTAGCTATCAGACAGCAAAATTGCCAGAAGAAACATTCACTTGATTAGTGGAGCACCATGACTATTAAAAAGGAAAGATGATTGTTAGCACTGCTGAAGTGAAGAACAATGAACCATTAAGTCAACTGATTCCTTCAGCTGCCTGAGTGATAGTGTGACTCCTGCTCCACAATGCAGCAGATAACAAAAGTAGGCCGCTTCTATCCCAAGTGAAAAATCAGATTCCCTGCTTAATACAAACACCCCAATGTTGGGGGCATGTTACATGTGAGAAAACATGATATACTATTTATATAGTTTCTGATACAACATGAAAAATTACAGTTAAAGTGTACATTCCTTCTGCAGCCTGCCAAAAACATTATGCTACAGCAGAATTAAAAGTTTCTGCATACTGGGGCAATATTACTACCTCCAACAGTAATTATTTTGGTAAGGTTAATCTCAAACTTCCCATTATAATAACATCTTTTTTGGTATTGTACAACTCGAGCCTGATTTAGCCATTCAGAATGAAGTTTTCCATGCTAGGTATTTGCTTTATGCTGAAACGTGCGTGTGTGTACTTTCAGCTAAAACAGCAAAGAACTAAATGTAGTATGTATTGCTCTGGCTGTGCTGCCCACAGGGGAAGAGACAGGGGCAGAGAGCTGGACTCTACACTCTGGCCTCAACAGCTGCTGCTTCCTGCAGGTGGCAACCAGAGCTCAAGAGCTGCTGGGGCGGGCCCTGGCACTGTGGGGCCATAAATGGGATCATGTTGAAGAAAAGTTTGGGAAGCACTGTTCTAGTCTGTCATAGCTCCTACTACTGATCAGGCAGGCCATATGCATGTAATGTCACTGCAAAACTATGTGCTCTATTGCCCTAGAGATGCTACTGTTTAATAGGACTGCATATACACTCTCTCATACAAAAACTAAGCATGCTCCAGTAGTGTATCTGGACTTTTCCTGTAATGTAAGCTCTACTGTGGGGTGGACTTAAGCACAGAAGGTTTGACTCATCAGTGCTTTTAATATAGGTCCCAGGCAGACTAGAGGAGAAGCTGAATGATTCAAATGCAGAAGAAATAAAGTGAGAGCTGCTGACAGACAACCAGTTCAGCCAGGGGAAAAATATTTGAAGGGGAAAAAGACAAATGTAATATGGAGCCAGGACATTAAGGAAGAGCCAGAAGTGGCTTGTCAAGGACACTAGGAACAAGTGTTCTACTGCCCACCTCCCCATGTCTGTCAGCCCTCTAAAGGTACATCCCAACAAGCATGCACATGCAATTTCCAGCGGTGTAAACCACACTTTGCTCTGCTAGTTTGCAGCACAGTGGTTTTGCCACTGGAAGATCCCAGTGTAAAAAAAAAAAAAATGGTTGCTAAATGTGTGGTGCATATGGCAGAAGTTTGCACTGCCAGAACCAGCACCTGGCTGGCCAGAACCATGTTCTGGGTGCCAGCCAGGCTCCAAGCAGCCAGCTCAGTGCAGCTGCTGTCCCAGGAGGTCCCCAGTATAAGACTGTTGGAGCTACTACAGATGCTGGCCCCAGCCTTCCATACCCCACCTGGGTCAATTTGTCATGTGCTGGCACAATTATGTGCCACTTCTTTTTGTCATGCAGAAAACGTGCACCCCTGAATGTGCGTACTTGTTGGGATGCACCCTAAGAAGCTAGTTTAGGTTAAAGGGAGAGAGACAAGAAACCAAAAGCAGTGCAGCAGATCCAGGGGAAATTGGAAGGAGTGGGGCATGAGGAATCAAACCTGGAGAGGGGAGAATAGGCAGATATCTGTGCCTTCTGGGCCACACTCCCTTCCTGGAATAGAGGGTGAGATTCAAGCAGCAGAGATTTGTATATGGAAACTAAAGGTTCCAACCTTGCTTATAACCCCCTTCACTATGATTCTATACCAGGAGTGCTCAATGTTTTGGCCCTGCAAGCCTGATGAGTAGCCTGGGGGCAGTCTATGGCCAGATTGGGCCCCTCCTGCCAGGATCAGGCTCTGCACTACCTCTGGTTGGGCACACATACCCAGTTCAGGCCCTGTCCTGCCCTGCCCTGTGCACCTGATCTAGCAATGGAGGTTCTAGTTTTCCTAGATTTTTTTCAAAAAGCAAGCAGAAAATGATAAAATAATGCTCAAAGAACATTATTAAATATTGCAATGCCAAGCACTCAAAAATTAGGACATACGAAATGAAGGTTGCTTATGCATTGCTGTTCACTGACTTGGGACATGTTAAGATACAATTTATAATTACATGTTCATGCATTATTTTTCCACAAGACTCCTGCCTCTCTGGGCACACAGAATGGACTGCACTTACTTCATGAATAGCCAATGCATGGCCATATGCCCTAATTTACTGCAGACTAGTCAAATCTTGCCCTGAAAGCAAGAACATTTCCCTATGGGCTGGTGCTCACATCACTACATCTGAGGATATACATGTCATATTGTTCTCATTTTATAGATAGTGAACAGAGGGAAACAGAAGGATTAAGGGCTTAATTTTGGGTTTCTAATTCTGGGATTCTAATTCAAGACAAGATGGACCTGATTTTTCAGTACTTTATGGCCATGTCCAGACAAGCATGGATGTTTAGTTCCCTGGGGACAAGCAGCAAGCAGCACACCTTGCACCGCAGTTACTTGTCTCTGGGGAATGCCCGTGCCACTCATGCTTTGGTGCATGGCAAGTTACCCCAGGGGCAGTAGTGGGGGCTACAGCCAGCACTGTGCTGGCCCCAGCAGCTTCACCTGGGGTCCTGGGGGCCTCCCAGGGCTGCAGTGATGATCCTGCTGGGTGGTGCATGGCTCTGCTTTTTAGTGGTGCATGTTGCTCATGCATGTGCTACTGTTTTTTTTTCCTATGGGTTTTCTGACCCCTGGATACCCAGGGGTCAAAAAAACCTAACCAAACAAACAAAACAAACCTCACAGAAAAAAAGCAGCACACGCATGGGCAGCACGCCCTTGCAGTGCATAGAACACCTGACTGTGTGGTATGTGGTGCTGCAGACGTGTTTGCGGCACCACATGCTGCACAGCTGTGCTCACCTGGACGTGCCCTATATGTTTAAATTATACCCCCCAATAATCCCAGTTCTAGCTGTCGCGGCTCAGCATTTTTGCAAATTACATACTGGTCTCAAATTAGGAAACCAGAAAATAAGGAACATAATTATTAACCCCTGTAAAAAACTTTATTTACATAGGAGTTTCTGTGGCAGAGTTAGACAGAATCCTATTTTCCATGATATTCAGCTACTTTAACCCATGTGACCCCCTATCACTTTCACTATAAGCCTTCCAACTCCTCCAACAAATTAAGCAGAGCCCTACAGCAGTGGTGTTCAACATGTGGGCCACAGACCCCTAGGGGTTTACAAACAACGTCTAAGGGATCCACAAAAGATGACTATGATCAAACGTATATGAATACCCACACTTACAATTCAAAGGGGCCTGCACCTCCATTCAAAATTTCCAAAGGGGTCTGCATCTACATTCAAAATTGTTTAGGGAGCCACAAATGAAAAAAAGGTTGAAAACCACTGTCCTTCAGAAAACAGATTGATCATTACACACTGATTCCAGAGAAGGGATGGAAAGAATTTGTGTGATCACAATTAAGCATAATGCATATGCAAAAAGGGACTAAACTGGAGTTGCACAATCCATCCGTATTCTGGCATTTCCTAATTTTGCAACTTTAGTAATGTTCGTTTAATAGATTGTGGGGGGAGGGAGAGGGAAGGGGTTTGCTCAAAATAGGGAACATTCTGCTGTAGATGGTTAGCAGCCTTTTAGAGGGAAAAGCAGTTCTTTTCCACACATTCTAGCAGCCCCATCAAGCACTACCAGTTGCAATCCTGGGGCAGGTTTGTGTCCATATTATTACAGGGAAGATTTATAAAGGATTAACAGAAACAAATGCTAAAACAAACATACACAGAAATATAAAAGCAAAAGTCCTTTCCAGACTTATAACTCACAAAAGGATATAATAATCTTTCCTTAAACTCCAGATAACATATGAATTTTTATAACTTACCAACAATGACAGAAAAATTGAATATGGTGACTAACAAATCATGTCAGATATGAAGGGCCAAATCCTATTCACTTGTATGTGCCTAAGTGACACTTACATAAGAGCAATTTTTGGTGCTTGGCGTTTGGATTCCATGTGTACTTCCTACACTAACCCTGCACATCCCTTCTGAACATGTTCAGAAGTCTGAGCCCTGGATGTCTAGGCTCTGAGGTGTGAGAAAATTACCCAGATGCAGAGGTGTAACTAGCAGTTCTGGTGTTCTGGGCACAGTTGCTCTGAGTACCAGAAAGGCAGGAAAGGGACAGCACCACTATTGTTGGACAGGGCAGGGCACCTGGGGCACTGATCCATCCCCTCAGACACTGCCTCCCTCTTGCCTTTCTAGAACAGCAAGACAGCAAGAGGGGAGAGCTGCAGAATGCTGCTAGTGACTTCTCTAAATCAGTGTCCCACTCGCCCTGCCCTAGTTACACTACTGTCCAGATGTATACAATGCTAGGTAAATCCTGGAACATTAGTCAAAAAAAGAAAATGATTAGAAAATAAGAGGGGAGGGAAGTAGAGAGAAGCCTTCTTATCTTTCAGTTTAGCAGCCTAATGGTTAGGGAATCTGCCAAGAAACAGGAGATCTAGGGTGCCTATAGATGTGCATGGACACTGCTCCGACGCACTGTAATTACAGTGTGCCAGAGCAGACTCCATTAATCAGTCTGCTGGAGTGTGCTAATTAGTGCGCTACAGCAGCCTACACATCTTGTGTATTCAGCATCCCCATGCTTCAAAGTAGCAGCAGGGGCACTTTAACTAAAGTTCATGCAATGTCCTGCCCCCAACATGTTCTAGGCCCCCCAAGTTCTAGGCCTCCTTCTCTCAGAGGGGCTTAGTAGAAAGTGTGAGATTCAGGTTCAAAGTGCTCTAACCACCAAACCATAGGCTAGGTCAGCAGTTCCCAAACTCTGACAGATTGCACACCACCGATTTAAAACAATACAACCTTAAGTACCACCAGCAAATTTCTGTCATATAGAGTAATTATAATAAATCTGTTAATGCATACCACTGACAGGTTATCTGCGTAGCACTGGTGGTATGCGTACCACAGATTGGGAATTGCTGGGCTAGGCAATGCTCAGGGTATGTACCAATCTTTTTGAAGCTGGACCACTGGGCAGCCAGGAGGGGAAGACAGGTGGGGCTAGCTAGAAAATAGCACGCTAGGGTGGAGGAGGGGATGGCTCAGTAAGATGGTTGCTGCCTTGAGTGGGGGAGGACCTTGTGTTGTGGCCTCCATCCTTATTGGCTTTTCTGCACTTTCATAAATTTCATAGACATTAGGGCCCAGAAGATCATTGAGTCCAGCCCCCCGCCCAAAGGGCAGGAAGTCAGGTGGGGTCATAGGATCCCAGCAAGATAAGCATCCAATTTACTCTTGAAGGTGTTCAGTGTAGGTGCTTGAACCACCTCCAATGACAGGCTGTTCCAGACCTTGGGGGCTTGGACAGTAAAGAATTCTTCCTTATGTCCAGCCTGAAACGGAATTGCAGTAGTTTATGACCGTTCAACCTCGTCATCCCTTGGGGCACTCTGGTGAACAAACGTTCCCCCATATCCTAGTGGTCACCCCGATAAACTTATAGGTGGCCATCAGATCACCCCTCAGCCTGTGCTTTTCCGGGCTAAAGAGCCCCATGGCTCTCAGCCTGTTGTCATAAGGTCTGTTTTTCTGACCTCTGATCATGTGCATGGCTCTTCTCTGGACTCTCTCAAGCTTCTCCAAATCCTTTTTGAATTGTGGAGCCCAAAACTGGATGCAATACTCCAGCTGTGGCCTCACCAAGGCCAAGTACAAGGGGAGAATGACGTCCCGGGATTTGCTTGAGAAGCATCTATAGATGCAAGCCAGTGCTTTGGTTGCTTTGCTAGCCACAGCATCGCATTGCAGGCTCATGTTCATCTTGTGGTCAGTGATGACCCCCAAGTCTCTTTCTTCTGTAGTGCTAGCCAGCGTAGCACTGCCGAGCCTATAAGGATGCTGCAGGTTTTTCCTCCCAAGGTGGAGAACCTTGCATTTTTCAGTGTTAAACACCACCGGGTTCTTGTCTGCCCATTTCCTGAGCCTGTCCAGGTCAGCCTGGATCACCCTCCTGTCTTCTGGTGTGGATGCTTTGCCCCGAAGTTTGGTGTCATCGGTGAACTTGGCCAGTCCGGTTCTGACTCCCATGTCTACATCATTAATGAAGATGTTGAACAATATGGGTCCAAGGACAGCCTTGGGGGACCCCACTGGTTAAAGGGCACCATGATGATTGACTTCTGTCAATTACCACCTTCTGGGTCTGACCATGGAGCCAATTTCCCAGCCAGCGGATCGTGGTGGACCCAAGGCCACAATTGGCCAGTTTCGCCAAGAGGCTTTTTTGAAATCAAGATTTAATATTCATTTGCTAAAAATTAGAGGTGCACGGATACATCAGTCCAATATCGGATCAGTACCGATATAAAGAAAACTGGCTGTATTGGATATTGGTCCAATACTTTGGCCAATAAATGTCCATGCTGCATGCAGCTGCAGCGCAGAACTCAGGCAGCGAGAAGCAGAGCCAGCAGCATGGAGAGCTGCCTCCAGCTGGTAAGTCTGGTGTGGTGGAAGAGGAGCGGGGAGGGAAGGCGTGTGTGGGGGTCAGATCAATGCCCCTGCAGTGATGGGGCGAGGGCAAGGGCAGGCACTGCCCAGGCAGGGCTGGAGTGGTGGGGAGGGGCAGACCATGGTTTGGGGGGGGAGGGGTTGGTTCTTGCTGCTGCTTGCACCCCAGGAGGACACAGGGGGTGTATGTCCCACCGGATGTGCGTAGGGGGTGAGGGAGGGCAGGGAAGGCTGTAGCTGGAGCTGTGCAAGGCTCTTCACAGCAGGGGCTGGGCTCAAAGTGGGCTCTGGCAGCACTTCAAGGATGCTGCATCCACCCCAGATTTTGCCACTGCTCGCCTCCCAGCACCACCACTGCCAGTTGCAGCCCTGGCTCTTCCTAGTGTGTGGATGGATGCAGGCCGTTGAGCCGGGGCTGTGCCAGGTGGAGTCACTGGGAGCAGAGAGGCGGTGAAATCTGAGGTGGATGCAGCATCCTCCCTGCATCACCAGAGTCCGCTCTATGCCCAGACTTCACTGAAAAGAGCTCTGCGCAGGCCTGCCCTGCACAGATCAGGGGGCAAATGCCCCCCCATACCTTCCTGGGGTCCAAGCAGCGGCAGGCGCTGCCCCCCCCATGATCTGTGGCTTTGTCCCGCGCCCTACCCCCCTGGCAGCACCTGCCCCTGCCCCCTTCCTCACCGCGGCAGGGAGTTGATCTGCTCCCCCACACTCCTTTCCTCCCCTTTCCCCTTCCACCACACCAGACTTACGAGCTGGAGGCAGCTGTATCAGAAATCGGATTGGTATCGGCAGATCTGCCTCCTTAAATACTGGCTATTGGTATCACCCCCCAAAATCTCTATCAATGTACCTCTACTAAAAATGGATAAACAGCTATAGACAGATTCTGTTACATTAGGGGCAAGGCTCCAGGGCTCTTTCCCTTCTAAGGAAACACCCATCTCCCTTTAATTTAGGGCCCACAATTTCCCCTCCTGGCAGCCCAGTGGGACAGCTTTCAAAAGGATTAGCTCATGGCCTGGCATAGAGCGCTATGGTAGGAAGTAGGAGATGTAGGTTCAAATCCCTTCTGGGTAACAGGGGGTGTCTTACTCCCTGGGCACATGCCCTAGCTACTGGACCAAATGTGGGGAGCCCCCTTTTTATTTCTTGCAAGTATATATGTACCTGGGCAATCGTACTTCACCACAGGTGGAAACAGAATCCAAATTGTATGTACATGCCAACAGTTACACTTATGTGGCTATGCAAGTTTTGCTTAGGCATGTAAAATTGAAACAAGATTTGCCCTAAAGTCCTTTCTAATGAACAAATACTAATATAGCAGGGGTTAAACTACAACTAACTGTCACAAAATATATAGAGTAAGAACTCTGTGATTCATAACTGCTTTATGGGCAATTCCTACCACATCTCTGTCTAAACACATTGCTTTTTTGCTTTTTTTAATCAATTATTTCTTATTATAAATAGAAAGGATACAATAATGTGTCGATCTGATGGATTCCGCTGACGAGTCTTTTCCAGTTGAGACAACTGCTTAGCTTCTCGATTCTTTGCTGTTAAAGTTGCTTTTAAATCATCCTGCAAGTATAACAGTTTGTACATTTAAACAGAGCTACAGGAGTATGAAATACATATGTCTGCATTTAAGTTTAGTCCATAAAGCCTGGATAAAACCTTTTGCTTTATATCAGAAGTGTCAAACATCAGGTGTCCAACCTGCAGGCTGGATCTGGTGTGCAAGCTCATTGCTACAGCTGCCAGAGCCCACTGCTGTTAACACCACTTGCCTCCCCCACCAACCAACCCTTGTGCACTGCTAGATATCAGGGTTTGTAGTCACCTCTGGCAACTAAGATCAGCATCAGGGAAAAAAGAGAGGGGAGAGCAGCAGTGACACTAACTCCCTGGGTTTCAGAGTTGCATTGAAAAACAGAAGCTCCAGTAGCTATGGGGATTAATGCTACTACCATTGCCACCTGTGGGTCATCCAGCTCATGGAAAGCCCTGTGGGAAACTCCATGATACCAGGGTCACACAAGTTTTGGTACCCCTCTACCCAGGGCCACACAAATTTTGGTAACCAATCGCTAAACCAAACCAGTTTTTTACAGAATTATTCCTGTTAAACACTGAGCACCTACCAAGTGACAGAAATACATCACTGGGCCTGACAGTGCTCAAACTCCATAGGTGGATCCACTGACATGTGCCATCTTTTAGAGGTTAGCTATTAACATCTATATGAAAGACTCTATGACTATTCTGTTAGGTTACTAAAATGCCACCATTCCACAATCGAGAAACATGATTGTGGTTATAAGCCCGTCTTGGTTCAGCAACAAAGTGAAGGCAACAATTAAAAATGAAAAAGTGATAGATAACTGGAAAAAAGAGAAAAGTAAAATAATGTGTAAAACTATTCAGAATTCAGGGAGAAAAATCTATAGAGAACAAGGTTAAGGACAGTAACAGTAAGTATATTAGAAACAAAAAGAAGTCCTAGTAATGATGCAGGCCCATTACTAGGACAGAGTAACACAGCTAATAATAATATAAAAAAGGCAGAACTCTCCATAGGTATTCAATAAGTATTTCCATTCTGTTTTTGGAAGAAAAAACTGCTGATGTGCTTCTACCCTGAGACTGTGAGATAAATTTCAACCATCATAAAATTGTGGTGGTAAGAATATCTCACTCTAGGCTGCAGTAAACTAATTTACAAGTACCATCCTGCTGCGGAGTAAAAGACTCTGACGCAGCACATGTGTAGACTCTGTCCAGGCTGGCTGGTGCGTGAGGGTGCTTCAGTGTGGGCACTGCCTAACAGCTAGCCATGAGCTGAAGCTCCCTCATGCCCCAGTTAGCCCCTCTACCAGCCAGGGCTGCTCCGACCTGGCTCCACGTGCTGTGCATGAATAAGCTCTGGAACTGACTGCTGTGGAGTTGATTGCTTCTGGGCACACATTCAAACAGTGTACCTAGGAACAAAAAAATCTCTGAAGCAATGAGCTCCAGTTTATTCATGTGCATTAACTGCACATGTAGACATGTCTACAGAGTTCATAAGCTTTTGGAAGGGGGGGGGGGGTCGGAAGAGAGAAAAGAGGGGTAGAGAGGGAGAATATGAATGAATGAATGAATGAATGAATGAATGAATTGGAGGCTGTTTTAGATTATGAGACCAGCCCAGGTCAAAGAAAGTTAATCGTGAAAAGGAGAGAAAGATTCAAAGGAAAAGCCATGAGAAGCAGAAGAATGCTTAAATTGATCTAAGCTAACTAAAATCCTCTTAATCTGTGGCATGAATCTATTTATTTAAAAGAAAAAAAAAAATCAATAAAAGGACAAAAAGCTACAGTATCACCTAAAAACTGTGTTCAAATCACATGTAGTTATGGAAGAAGATTGTGGCAACCCATGGAGCCATTGCATCTGGCCCACAGGGCTCTCCAGAGGTCCAGAAATTTGACAGTAGGGGACTGGTGGTCATTAATATGTCCACCTTCCCTCTGCCAAAACAAACCCTGTTTGCTGCACAGCCAGTTGGAGCCAGACACACCCCCTTCTCTCCCCCATGAAGCCAGGATGGGGTCTGGCCACAATCTCTCCATAGGGCCAGGCCACGTTTCCTTTCCCTCTCTGTGGGGCTGGGTTGGTAGCCTGGCCATACCTCCTTCCCTCCTGCTGGGGCTGAGTCACACTCCCTTCTCCCCAAGGGGCCAGGCTGGGGCCTGGTCATGTCCCTTCCCTCTGTGCAGGGCTGGGTTGGGGCCTGGCCACACCCCCGTTCCTCTGTGGGGCCAGGTCAAGCCCCTTTCCCCTGCCAAGCTGTGTTGGGGCCAGCCTGCTCCCTCCCCCTCTTTCCCCCCATGCAGCCAGATGGTACCTGCCATGCTCTCCTGGGTGCCAGACTGGGAGCACTAGCTGGATCCGGCCCCTTGGACATACCTGGCACTGCCAATTTGGCCTGCTGGGCAAGGAGGTTCGGCACCACTGGTATAATACATATTTAAGCCAAGTTGGTACAAGTTTACCAGGACTTGCAGTAGATGTGTGTAAAAATGTTGCTCTGCCCATGTTTTAGCTGTTTTTCCCTCTGTTCTTGTGTGCATTTTTCTTAGTTTCTCTCAAGGGTACAGGATTGCTGTACAATGACAGCTACACACCCAGCTCCAGCCCTTCTCAACTGTCTCTTTTTCCCAAGAAAGGACAGTTATACTACCTTTATGCTTTAAAAGACTGTCAACTATGGGTTTTTTTTTGTCTAATAAACAATGCCATCATAAAAAAAGGGAGTAAGAAATATTATTCAAATAAAAGCCATATGAACAATGTATTATGGAGTAAAAGGGGGAATGGATTTACTTTCAGCTACTCTAATAATTGTACGCTTTCATCCCATGAAATATGGAAGCTAAACCATAAAACTTTCCCCTCTTTCACTGAGGGCTAAGCTACTTTTGTCTAAACTTCTATTAATTATAGGGTAAGAACATGTACTCAGGCCATAACCACAGAGCAATTGATGCACAGAAAATTTCCACCCCTCTTTACTCTCTAGTAAAACTGTTCACTAATTTTAAGGGCCATGTACCTCATGACAGCAGAAGACAGAGTTCATACAGAAGTGTAACAGGGATGTTAGCCAAAACATGAGACTCAGAAAATCTTAACACTGTATGGGTCCAGTGTGGTAAAAAACAAATACAGCACCTTGGTGAGTGTCCAGCTCCACCTTGGCTACATGACAGTATGAAGAAGTATTTTCCAATAGACAAGTAACTGAGAAACATCTATCAGGAACAGACATTTTAGATAACTAGGCCCAGATAACTTGCACCAAGTTCTTAAAATATCATTCTAATAAATTTTTGGATTACTAGGAAAATTTCTAAAGATGGAAAAGCATTAACACTGTGCCAATCTTTGATAAATTATTTAGATCTCCCTCTCCTTCTAGAGGCCAGATAGATTGATAGCAATCCTGAACAAATTAAATAGAAAAATCAGATTCAAGCAATAAAGAACTGCAGGGAAGGGATAATTAATGCCAATGTGGTCTGATAGAAATAAACCTTATTTCAAGTTGGGTTGATTAGGCAAGTTTGACCTAGCTCCTTGGTACACTCTGATTAAAAAATAGCACTATACAATAACAATAGAGCATGCACTGAATGAATTAAGAACTTGTTTTCTGACATCTCAGAAAGTAGCCATTGTTGGCATTTCATCACTGAACACCGACCGGTCTTGAGAGTAGGGTTGTGGTAGACCCAGCACCCAATAGTTTTTTCAATGACATGGAAACAAATATAAAAATGACGTCTGATAAAATATGCAAGTGATACAAAGATACATAGAATATATAATAATAAGGAGATAGGGCAGTCATACAATGGTATCTAGATGATTTGGTAAGCTAGGCTCATTCTAGCAAGTTGTATTTTATTACAACCAAATAACAGTACACATCTAGGACCAAGGAATCCAGACCATACTTATAGAGAATGGAGACTTCATCCTGGGAACTAGCAACTCAACATGAGTTCCCGATAAAATGCTTTTGCAAACAAACAAACAAACAAACAAACAAACAAACAAACAAACAACAGCTAATGTGATCCTTGGAGGTACATAGAGAAGACTAATGAACAGGAGAGAAGAGTGGTAATTTTACCTGTATAAACAGCAGCGGTGAGATCAATATTGCTGTTTCACCTTCAAGAAGCAGTCCAGAATATCAGTCTAAAATGCTGTGGGTTCTTTTTCGATGTGTACACCATTAAGTAGTAATGAAAATCTGCCTTTACTGCTATACTGCCTCTTTTGTGGAGTCTCATGAAAATCAGTTCCCTGTCTTGTTCTATTCAACATCTATATGTAGCCATTGTAGAAACTTGTTGAATACAGACTCGAATGCTGGCTCTATGAAGATGATATTCAGCTCAACCTCTATATTATATATGATTATATTATTATCACCCAAGTAGTCCAGTGTTCAGATTACAACAACAGAGGCATGAAAAACAGCTGGCTGAAGCTGAATCCAACCAAGAGAAACATTATGGAGGTTGGCAGAGGAAAGCATTCTGAAGAGTTTGCATCTAAGGGGAAGTCTCTCTTGGCTGAAGGTGCCAGCCAAAAGCTGCCTATTGAAGTTTGCAGCTTAAGTGTACTCCTGGGCTCTTCACCCACACTAAATTATCACATAGCAATATCACGGAGTAATGTTATCTAACATATCTGATTGCCTAGGATACCAGGAGACTTAAAACCATCCAAGATTGGCTGAAGTTACTCTTGACTATATCACTTTTAGGTTGGACAACAATGCAATATACTTGAGCATGAAGCCTTCAGTACTCAGGAAACTCCTGTTGGAACTTTCTCTACATCTTCTTATAGATACTTGCTACTGTATAAATAAAACAAAACCTCACAAACATAATCAATCCTGTTTGTTCCTTCATATATATTCCTTAGATTTTGAATCAAATTCAAGGTCTTTGCCCTTAATTTCATGATGCCCAATGGCTTGTGTTCAGGCCATGCATAAGATTTTCTAAAGATATATAGTATTCTTCACTTATAGGGCACACTCGAACTTTCTAAGATAAGGGTACAGCTACAAAGCTCTTCTATGGAGGAAACAGGTAAGCTTCTGAAAGAGCTCCAAGTGAAGTGAACTTTCATAGGAACAAAGAACTATAAAAAAAATCTTACCACTTTTCAGTTTAATTGAAGGGCACTTTTTTGGCAGGGTAACTCACTCTCCCTCTCTCTCTCGTATGTATAAAAAACCCACAAAATAAAATATTCTATTGCATATGATTCTCCCTCCAGGAAAGGATGCAAGAACAAACATGTGACAGATGATAATCAACTTGATACTGGAAAGAGCTCAGATACCTGAGTAGTGAGCACTGTATAAGAAACTGAGTACAATAATATAGCATATACCAAATATGGACTGTTCTGTATATATGCAGCATGGCATCCTACGTAGTATACTCTCATGAAACACAAACACCACTTTACTATGAAAAAAAAAAGAAATCTATTCTTGCTTGTGTCAATGTACAAAAAAAGACATTGGTGCACTTCTTATGAAAGTACCTCAAAACCCCAATTTTGCTGCATTCTAACCTCAGAAATTAAAAAAAAAAAAAAAATCATAGACTCCAAATCATCTGTACTTCCCCTTTTCATTATGATAGCCATTCCAGAAAAGAGAGGATACTGGATAATACAGATCTATGCGTTTCAGCCAGGAGCTTCTTCACCAGTAATTTCCAACAAATATGAAGCCTGCTTGTAATTCTAAAGGGTTTGGGATGTTCTTATAACTTTTGCATTCTCTTTTTAGTCAAACTCCTAAAAGTATCAGATAAAACATAGGGCACTTAATTAAGAAAATGCAGTCTGCTTGAATGTATACAAAGCTATGCATCAGTTGTTAATCCTTCGGGGAACTGGACTCCCTTTCCTCAATTTCTCTCTTGGAACTTATCTGTTTCACATATACCCAGCCAAAATTCAAAAGTATTCTTGATCCACTTATTTGTATTTTTTGTTACACTAACCATTTTAATAAGAAGAGCACATCAAATTAGTTTAGGTTAATGATATTCATAAAGACATAAGAATATACTGAATTTTGAGATAAATACTTTACACCTAAATTTACCTACCCTTTTAAGTTTTACTATGGTCCCATAACTTTTCAGAGGTTCAACAACTTTGGCTTCAAGCCTTTCAACCTACAAAAAAAGTCAAAGAAAGAAAGATTATGCAAAATGTTGATTCTATTTTACAAGAAGTTTAATCCATAATCACTGAAGGCAGAGGTTTTAAAGTCTTTTGCAAAAACAAAACCAGAAATGCTGAACAAAAAGTGATTTGTACCTGAAGAGATGGGTTTAATTTATTCCTGGTGTAAATTATTTCACTTCAGTGGCATTAAATCGGGAGGAATCAGGCCTGGGAATTGTTACTGGATATGTGCAATGTTAAATCTCAAATTCTATAACTCTTTTTTTAAGAACTGAAAAAGGCAATCTATTTCTTTTAAATGTGTTTGGTAGATTATTCAATTATTGTTTCCTCTGAGCAATTTAAAAGATTTCTTGAAAGGCATGAAAACAGCAAACTATGTAATGAATATACCAATATTATTGTGCTAATACTATTTAATGCATTAACAGATACTTATATTTGTGATGTTTTAAACATGTCTACAGAGGAAAACAGCTGAAAATGGGTAGGTATGTAATGGATTAAGACTTCTGCTTGTCAAACTGTAATTTTGTCTGATTTATTAACTTTTCCTCTTATTTCTCCAACTATTTGTTTATTTGATTTCCCCATGAGCTCTTCAGGATAAGACCTGTCTTATCCAAATGTCTGTAACAAAGCATACTAGAACCTGGTCACTGGGCACATCTATATGAGACGCTACGCTGCTGTAGCTCGTTGCTGTGGCGATGTAGCATTGCCAGGCACAAACCATGACAATGATGCTACTGTGCAGTAGCAGCTAAAAATAACCATGCAGTGACAGGACTGGGCACTAATGCTAGTTACTGTGCAGCCAGCCGCTTGTGTAGACGCATCTACTAAGTGGTACCCATTATAATAAAATATATCTGCTAGCAGCAAATTCCTCGGGCGTTGTATTTACTCCCTCATTTACAGTGACATTTTTCGTCAGACCATATTTGCTTCTAACATATCCTTAACTTTGACGCAGTCGCATAACTAAGGTGGAATGATGATGGCAGCTGCCCTGGAAAGGTTGCAGGGGGCAGTGGAAAAAAACCCGCCACCCCAGCAGCTGTGCAATTGTGGCGGCAGCAGCCAGAAGCCACCACTGCCTTGTGTGGCAGCTTTTTTAGGCACCCAGCCATGTCATTACACCTCTGGTTTGATGGAACGTGTTAACATTTCAAGTAAAATAAAGAGAGTGTATTGTATGCAGCCAAGTTCCAATTCCATGGCAGTCAAGATAGAGTTCAAGTTAAGATAAAAATATGACCAGCAATTTTTAAAAAGAGATATCACAGAAATAAGATATGCTGAGAAATCCCATGGCAATTAATAGTGCACAATGCTTAAAATAAAATAAAAACTGCTTACTAGCCATGTGACCCAGATTGATAGTATCAATCATCTCAACAGTTCCAGATTAAAATCTGCTATGATTTAAATATACATTGGTAACCAGACCTTCTAGAACAGAAAATGTTTAACCTGATCTTTACAGATCTGAATCTCATCTTCTCTTACTTTGTCTCTGAAATTTTCCTTTCATTCTTCCCCTTTTCCACTCAAAGAAACAAGGTGTAAAACTTGAGACCTGCAATACTCCCTTATGAAAATGTTTAAAAACCGAAGGGCTATTTTTATCTTGTTTTCCTGCTGCTTTTATGAAGTAAAAGAACTTCAGTACCTGGAACTATAGCTAAAGAAAGAAACCAGTAGTCCTTACAAGGAAATTACACTTTCTAGTACTGTTATTATATAAGAAAGTTGCTGTCTAAACTGATCACCAAAATAAGGGAAATCAAGATTATCATCTGATTTTTTCATGCAGAGATGGAAATTACTTAACTACTCTTGGATTCCTTTTCTTTGGTTTCTTTTATCTATTTGATATTTCTTTTGCCCTGCATCTCCTCAGTTAACTGTGGGAATAATGGAAATTTATTTGAATGGAAGAAAATTTATTCTAAAGACTAACTACTAAAGGCATTTCTGAAGATCCCAAAAGAAGTCTAGACAAAGTCTTCATTGAAATAATGGATTTATAGAGTTTAAGGCCACAAGGGATCATTACATCATCAACACTGACCTCCTGTCTATCACAGGCCATTATATTTCACTGTATTTCATTTGCCACTGTATTGAGTGCATTAATTTATGTTTGGCTCAGTGTAAGCAAGTCACCTACACACTTATGAAAATCCCAGTAGGCAGCCATCTACATCTTTACGTTTTAAGTAGCATTAAAAATATGTCCTAGATACACTGTGAAAGGACCATATATAGCATTTGGATTACCAATTCCCTTTAGTGAATAATAAGAACCAAACATCCGAAACCTAAACTTAAAAAAAGGAATTGGTGGTGTATAAAGACAGCTTGAAAGGTTTCCTTTAAAAAAGGATTTTCCCCTCTAATTGTTTTT